GATTCTACCTCATCCTCTTGAGTGCTGGGTCACAGAGGTGCACCACCATTCTTAGCTGTTTCTTCCTTCACAAGGGTCTTCTGACTTCACTTTTCTTTTACATCCCTGCTGACTTCACCCTGGCCAGACTCATTGCCTAACATTACTATAATGCAAACAGCTAATCTGCCTGGTATCTGACTTTCTTCCCTTCAGTTCACACTAGATATCAATGTTTTTCTATACCTTTCCTCACATTCACCCATTTACTCTCCCATTTAAAATGGAGAGCTGCTTACTGCCTATCACGCAGAGCTCACCTCTTCTGCCTAGTTTGCAGCAAATTCCACAAACTGGTCCCAGGCTACTGAGTCAACAGAGCCTTCCATTCTATTCATCCCCTCGGTCTTGGGCACACATGGCTATGCTCATTACTCACTCCACACCTCTCCCAACTGGAGTAACTTTTCTCCAGCATATTCTTATTCAAGTCATATCTGTCATCCAACATTATATACAGTCCCTGAAGTCAAGAAATTTACTTTTGTATATTTTTCTATAAGAGTTCATATCTATCATCTAATATTATATACATTCCTTGAAGTTAGAAATTTATTTTTTGTATTTTTCTATAGCAGTAAAAGAGTGTATGCAGGGCATTCTTACTGATCAAGGGACATAAACTGCTTAAGAACTAAGCAGAGAACTAAGATGATGTCAGAAATCAGAATTTTAAAAAGCCTACCAATCAGCAAAGAACAAACTGATGTTAGAACTTTCTGAGAACCACAAACTATTTTGACTGTTTACTTTATGTTCCTCTCAAGAATCTAACAAAGCATCACCTCAACTAAATTATCTAAAACTTGTTAGGCTGTCCTGAGCTTTTATTTTGAAATAATTTTAGACAAAAAGATTTTTTTAATCACTTTATAATAAATTGCTGACTTGTTAATTATTATGTATACCCTACTGGGACAATATTCTTAATTTTTTTCCTTTTTATTTATTTATTGCATGCAGGGTCTCACTACACAGTTTAGACTCGTAGTGATCTTCCCCTCTCAATCTCCCCAGCACTGGGATTACAGGCTCACATCACCACACTGGTTCTGGTGGGGGCACACCAGGCCCAGGGTTCCTGGGATGGCATGGCACAGTTATAAGGGATCAAACTCAGGTCTTTACGCTTGCCAAGCAGGTGCTTAGACCACTGCGCTATCTACCCAGCCCTGGGACAATATTCTTAAAATAACTGTTACCACCAAGATCCAGAAATTAACATTGACATTAGTACCTCTATCTGGCCTAAGGAACTCCTTAAATTTTACTAAGCATCTCAGTAATTGTTTGAACACTATTATATGACTTGTTCTCCATTGACTGCATAGATCTTTAAAATTCTGATTGCCACCACCACCTTTGTTCTTTTGATTAAGCCCATTATTCAAGAATTGCATTAGCAAAATGCTTGGTGGGAAATAGTGTTAGGGGTGGAACTTTAGCCTTATACAAACTAGACAAGCACTCTACTAAGCTATATCCTCAGCCCTCAAGAATTACAGTTAGCACATCCCTTCAATATTCTCCCATCTGGAACAACTCAGACATCCTTTAACTTTCACGACTGTGACATTTTGACAGTAACAAGCCAACAGTTATGAAGAACAGTCCCTCAGTTTGGGTTTGTTTCCTCATGACTGAATTCAACTTATGCACTTTTAGCAGAGATATCATAAAATGAATGTCGTTTTATTCTTATTGTATCCTTTCAAGTAGCACATAATTTCAGTTTTTCCCATTAGTGACACTATTAAGCTCTTGCCTGCTAGGTTTCTCCATTATAAAGTTATTCCTTTTTTCTTTGCAACATGTACTTAGAGAGTAATTTTATCTGGGCATAGTGGCATAGGCCTGTGCCTCCAGCACCTGGAAGGCTGAGGCAGGAGAAATACCAAGAGTTCAAGGTCAGCCTGAACTACTAAGACCCTATCACAAAAGCAAAAACAAAACAAAAAAGTTATTTTAGTATCCCCCAATGTCCCTTAGCTGGATTAAATATTACTATGATGATTCTCAAATGGTGACTTTTCTATCATTCCTTAATAAATCAAGCAATAATTAATACATTAGGCAATTTATTATACAAAAGCATTCTATCCACTCATTAAGTCATCTACTTATTTTTATCAGTATAACTCACTTTGATTTTATTGTCAAATTTCACCTATTTACTTTATGTATTTAGTACAGAGTCTATAGGGTGTCTGTGTTAGTTGATACATTGTGTCAACTTGGCTGAATCAGCTCCAGCAGCATGGGGGCCTCGCCCTGTAGGTGGGCAAGGCCCAGGAATTGAGAAAGGCTGGAAGCCGCCCTGCCTGGCCCCGCCCGCTTCCATGGAGAAGTCTCCGTCTAGAGAGGAGCTTGACCTTCGCAGCGGAGCCACTTTGGAGGAGCTCCTATCTTCACTGTGGAGCGCTGGTTTACGCAATCAGCGCAGAAGGAAGAGAGAGGCTTGATGGACGCGGCTGCAGCTGCTGCTGCTCCTCTGCTCTTCATTGTATTCTGCCGCATGAACTGCTGTGGTTTGCCTTGGAGCCAGCGGAATATGGACTAAACCCTCCAGTAACTGTGAGCTAAATAAACCTTTCCTTCTTTCATTTTGAGTTTGGGATATTTGTCCCAGCAACGAGTAAAAAGTAACTAAGACAGTGTCACTACATAGATCTGACTTGTAGTGATCCTCCTATTTTCAGCCTCCCAAGCACTGGGATTACAGGTGTGTGCCACCATGCTCAGTCTCAATCTCCATCTCAGTGCACTGGAAACAGGGCCAGCATGACACACTAGGGATCAAACCCCGGTCCCTGCATCTGCCTAAGCAGGCACTTTAATCCGCTGAGCTACCTGTTTGGCCCCCCACCTATTTATTTATTTACTAATTATATTTCCTTCAAATTCAAGATCCTCCTGCCTCAGCCTTCAACCTCCTGAGTGCTGGGATTATAGGCTACAGATGTACACCACTGTGCCTGGTATTACTTATTTTAATGCTCAAATTCAATCAGTGAGATGCCTTTTGATCTGATTCTATGTCCTTTTCTTATATCCGTATCATTCTTTGTACATTCCTTTACTTTGTAGTTCAACAATATGTTCTAAATTCATTTTGTATTTTTCCCCACACAGTCTTGGAATCAGCCATTTCCAAGGACCTATTTGTCCTTTTGATGGAAAATATATTTTAGAAAATAAGACCTGATTGTTAAGTGTTCTAATAATAAAGCAGTAGCTTTGCTGTTTCAAGCCTTCTGAGCCAGTTAAGCTAGAGAATACAAATAAAAAGAAGCACACACACATACCCCTTTATAGCCATATTCCTATATCTATGAATATACAGTAAAAGTCATAAATTCACACATATTTCCAACTCTATTCTAGCACAAGGTCTTATTCCTTTTTCATATGTGTAGCTATCATTTCAAAGAGTGAAAATTTTGGATACTGTTATCAACATATGGACTTACTTGAATCAGTCTCCTTCTATACATAACAAATTTCCTGTCACTCCCCCACCCCCCACTATGTGTAGCCTCATCCATTTGGGTTCTTATATCCCACTCCCGACTGCAACCTCCAACACTGCCCCATACCACCTCTCTTCCAGATGTCCTCCTCTCTCTATCAGGTTCCAATATCTTATAGTAGGTTGATGCCATTGCTACTCCCTACCTTGGAGAAATGACTGATTCCAGGGCTGGGGCAGGAAATGTAAAACTGAGGTTGGAAAATACTGTTGAGGTAGGAAGTAAAAGTGTTCAATGCTTGCTCACCTTCCACCCCCGCAATGCAATCAGGATATAACACATCTATCTCTCACTGAGAATAGGAATGCACTTGTCACTCTGTGTATCAACAGTCCACAGGGCAACCCCACTACTCCTTCTTCCTTACCATTCTACAAACACCTGCAAGTCCCCCTCACTCTGCAGGATACAACACCAAGCACCAGATTCTCCTAGCCCTAGCCTTTAAAATATGGCAGTTAGCTCCACTGAATCTGCCCATGGAAGATCTTTCAGTGAAAAATTTGTTTTTGTATATCCAGGATTGTGAAGAAAGAAAACTGAAATTTGGATAAAAACAAACAAAAGGGAAATGGAATGATGACAAAGATGACACTTGTCTATTTTGAATTTTATACCATACCTATGATCTAAAGAAGGGAGGAAAACTTTAGTATATTTTCCCTACTATTCAAGACCCTGTGTTTACACTAGTATTATTAGCTCATCTGTATTCTGGTCATTTATATGCTATTTCTACCAGGAAATGCAATTCAAATTGCAAATCAGTATAAAGGATCAATTTTTAAAAATTAAGTTTCATTTGACCTCTTATTTAAAAAGACTCAAAGTACTTCCAAATCAGCAATAAGTGTAGGTTTGTCCAAAAAGTCCACATGAATTATTTTGCATAATGTAAAAGTAAATTCTGGAAATATATTTAAAACATACTTACAGACACATGATACTTGACATAATAATGAACAATCCAGGCAGGTATGAGTACATGTGTAACAGCAAAGATACTGCGCCAGTATACCTTATAGATCTGAGGGAAGAACATATACACAAAATAAAAAGATGGCTTGTTTTTTATGTTTATAATGATTACTTTCCAAATTTCTAAAATGAATTTACTTTTTTATAGTCTATAGATAACCTCACACACAGTATTTTTTTTTACTAAATGTAGAGCCTGTTACATGATACTATATATAGAGTCCATGGCAGATAAGACAAGTATCATTTTAGTATGACCATTTCAGATTTTTTTTTAAATAAATATTTCTAAAAACATGGCTCATAAAATTCATAGGGAAACACACAAGACCCAGAATAGTAACAAAAACAAACAAAAAAACCCTAACCAAAAAGAACAAGGCTAGAGGCATCATTTGATTTCAAACTAAACTATAAAACTATAGTAATAAAACAGCATAATATGGGCACAAGAGACAAACAGACTAATAAAGCAGAATAAAAAAACACAGAAACAAACCTATGTAATTACAGCCAGCTGACTGTGGACAAAGAAGTCAGAAATATACACTGAAGAAAATACAGTACAGACTCTTTAAAAAATACTGCTAGGAAAACTAGACATCCACACACTTACAAAAGACTTAGGGATGTAGCTAAGAGGCATAAGTGCCTGCCTGGCAAGCACAAGGTCCTTAGTTCGATCCCGGGTACCGCAAAAACAAACAAAAAAAACACCCTGATGTGCCACTTACAAAAGTCTTAAAACTAGATCCCTAATTCTCACCCTGTATAAAAATTAATTTGAAATAGACGAAATACCTAAGTATAAGGCCATAAACTTTTAAACTGTTAAAAGAAAACATAAAGGAAGCATTTGAAGCCATAGGCACAGGCAAGACTTCTGAATATCACTCCAATAGCTTAATAAATACTAGCAAAAATCAACAAACAAGACTATATCAAATTTAAAAGTTTCTGCACAGCAATAGAAATAAACAACAAAGAGACAACTTATAGAATGGAAAAAAATATTTGCCAGCTCTTCTCTGACAGAGGAGTAATATTTGAATATTTTAAAATTCAAAAAACCCCAAAAAATGTAAGTTTTCAACCAATAAATGGCAAATTAGTTGAAGTCACTATTCAAAAGAATACAAATGAACAATAAATGTACAAAAAACATTCAACATCTTTAACCATTAGGGAAGTCCAAGTCAAAACTATAGCAGACTCTTATATACCTCAATTATAAAGGTTATGATCAGAATACAAAAAACAAAAACTAGCAGGATGGGGGATGGGAGGAACCCTTTTACACTGCTAGGAGGAATTAGTGTAAATTAGTACAGCAAATAATTAGTATAAATTTATACTAATTACTAGGAAATCAATATGGACACTTCTCAAAAACTAAACACAGAGCTACCCATCCTTGATAAATTAAATGTAGAGCTGCCCAGCTATACTATTCCTTGCTATATACCAAAAACATTAAAGTCATTACACTATAGAGATACTGCATACCTATGTTGAGGACGATGTGCCATGCACAATAGCCAAGATTTAGAACCAACCTAGCTCCCCAAAAACAGATGAATAAAGACAGTGTGGTACAATACACAATGAAGTATTAATCATAATAACAGCCAGATGTGGTGGAATATGCCTGTAATCCCAGCACTTGGGAGACTGAGGAGGAAGGACTGCCACAAATTCAAGCCCAGCCTGGACTACACTGAGTTGAAGGCCAGCCAGAGCTACAGTGAGACTCTGTCTCAAAAGAAAACAGAACCATGCAAAATGCATGGATCTCAATGTAGTGCTTATATCAGAAGCATCCTAAAAAAAAAAAAAAAAATCATATTAAGGCTTATTTTCCAGTTAGGTCTTACGTAGGGGGAAATACAGTAGGTATAAGGCAGACAACCTTGAGTGCACCAAGGTTGCAAAAGCAATGTTTTACATACCAAGTTAGGGATGTTCTAAACTCATTCTGAGATATTGACTTCTTTTTTTCTTTTTCAGACAGGGTCTCACTACTACACTGGAGGCTTGCCTTGTGCTCAGTTTGTAGTCCAGGCTAGTCTTGAACTTGAAGTGATCCTCCTGTCTCAGCCTCCTGAGTGCTGGGATTACAGGCTGGGAGTACCAGCATAAATCACCACACTAGGCTTGATGGTAATTTTAAAAGAGAAAGACAAACTAGGAGTGGTGGTGCACACCTATAATCCCAGAACCTGGAGACCAAGGCAGGAAGATTATTGAAAGTTTGAGGCCAGCCTGGGCTACAGAAGCAAGACCTTGTCTTCAAAACAAAAGAAGAAATAAACATGGAATTTTTCCATGGCAGCCAACTAGAGTGGAAAACACCTATATGTCAGTGAAATTCGATCTAGAGTCTAAGTACTACTACAGAAGAAAAGTCAAAGTTATATAGAATTCAACAAATGACATTTACTTCCTTCAATACTAGCCAATGGGTAAGATTTCAACTTTGAACCAATAACTGTCAATGTCTACAGGTAATATCAGGAATAAGTTAGGATAGACTTGAATTAAACGGTTACATTTTACCACAATAAATTTCTCAGGAAAACTTAAGCCAATTCCATTGCATTGGACTTTGTAGCACAGTAAGAGTAGAAAAATGTGCTTTTCAGCATGAACTTTAATTTGTACCTCTGTGTCCATAGGTGATTCATTGAATAGTTATAGGCCTGTTTCCTCACATTTAAAATGAGGCTTAATAAATAAATAAATAAATAAAATGAGGATTAATATATTTTATACTACATAGGAGTAAAATGAAAGTAATACATCTAAAATCCTCAACAGAGTAACAGGCACACAGCTAATGAGCACCAAATACTTATTATTATTATTAGTTACTGTTGTAGGAAATTGAAAGCAATTCTGATAGTGTTCAAATTCATAGCTATGTGATTAACAGACTTCAAAGATATACACAGAATACTGAAAGTAAAAACTTCAAATGAATGATTCCGCCTAACAAAATGTCTTTTCTTAAAGAATAACTGTTAACTGTTTAGACAGTAGCTTTTGAATGTGACTCCCTAAGTATACAAGACTGGCTTTACCTTTTACTCCACAACACGGGCTAGACTACCAGCCAGGAGCTCCTCCGGTGGGTGGGTGCCAGCCTACAACTTCAACTTTAAAGGCTACTGTCCTCAAATACTACAATCACAGAACTTCAGTGAATTCTTGTCTGTTGATCTGGGAAGAGTTCTACACCACACGTGCAGCATTCTATTAAAACTCAAGATTTGGCCCCGTCTCACTACAGATGACAACACAAGGGCATATTTTTCCAAAGCATGCCCCGTCAGGGCTCTCAGGACAAGGCAGCGCCTCGCTAGACCCAAGTCTCTCTGAACCTGACTGTCCCTCGGAACTACCGAGACTTGCGGGCTCACAATGTCAGTCCTCGCGGTAGCTGTAATGGGCGGGCTGGGTGCTGCTCCCTCACTCACCATCTGCTTCCAAGGGGCCCTGTCCTGCAAAAATTTAGTCCAGAATTTCTCCAAAGGCCCCAACTTTGTGGGGGGCAGCACAGGCTCCCGAGCACTCAGCTCCTGGTCCTTCAGCCATCGCCTCCTCAACTCTTGCAGCTGCTGCAGCCGCAGTTTCTCATCCGGTGTGTACCCTGTCATTTCGCGGCTGATAGCAGGACAAAAGGACGCGGGGCGTCCCGAACCAGGGTCTTGTCACTTAGACTGGTCGCGCTCGGTAACGCGACCTTTCGAGGACGACCGGGGCCGCGCGGTGTTATGACGTCACATCCTGATCCCGCCCCTGCAGTGTCATCAATCTCCTACACAGGCAAGCAAGTTCGAGCATGCGCAGAGCTCTCTGCCCGCGTTCTTATTGGCCCAGTATACAAAAGAAAGGTGGGCTGGTGATGCTTTAGTAATGGGATGAGGAGGATAGTGACAGACAAAATTAAATTTATAAAAAGCAACCCCCAAAAACCCAATCTAGAAAACTACACATGGATCAAACTGATATAAATGGTAGTGTAATCTCAGAGACACAATTCCAAGTCTTTAAACCACCAATTATTGAATATTCATAAGGATAAGACACACACACACACACACACACACACACACACACACACACAATAAAACCACACAAAAATGGCTTGCACTATTTTTAAATAGTTGTTTGGTGGTGTCTTGGTGGTTATGGTCTTGTTAATATGATAATGAAAATAAGTGTTAATGTTGGTATTTTTTTCTACAAGAGAAAAGATATAATATAAATATATACATTAAATAAGATTAATTAAAAAACTTGTATTCTTCAATTCTGAATAGGAAAATTCAGAGTGAATTCTGATGTATTTTATCTTTAAAAAGAGATGTCACTTTTTTTAGCCTGTTGATTTAAAAATGTTTAATCATCATTATTTTAAAAATGGTCAACCCTGTCCCCAAGTATCTCTGGTTCCTAGACAGAGGCCTGACAGCTTCTCCGCAAGCTTTCACACTGATCAGCAAACCCCAGCCTTGCCCATTTTCCATTGGAAAGGACCAGGTTCCTTGAAGCAGCAGTTATCCATTGCATTGCTTGCCCCAAAGACTTCTTTGAACGCTTCATAATTTTTGAAGATTCCAAAGAGTTTTTTTTCTTTTTAAGGTGGGTTACATCCATTGATATTCACTGCATTTAAAATTAAAACATCTTAAAAGCAACAATACACTCATTGACAAAAATTGTTTAATGAGAGGAATGTCTCTGTTTTACTATTTTGTATTTCCTCTTAATGTCTGCTTTAATAAATGAGAGCAGAATTCTTAAAACTGCTTCTGTGTTTGGTCACATATCATGTAGTCTCTGGACTACTCTTTATACATTTGGGAGAGAATGAAAGTTTTAAAAGAAAAAGAGCATGTTGTCATTATTATGGAAATAATTTTGACCTCACAGAGTCTATAAAAGGATCATAGACATTCCCAGGTCCCCTAAGCCATACTTTAAGATCTACCATCTTAGAGAAATAGGTAATTCCAGATCTAAGTTAGGAAATATAAAAATAAATCTGTGTCTTCCTGTTATGCTAATGTAGCAGAAAGACCAATATTAATCCAAATGGAAGACTTTTTGCACTGGGGAATTAGAAGACAACGTTTACCATGCTAGTGGGCTGTGGCATCCAGAGGTGTAGATCACCAGCCCAGAGTCAGGTTTGAGTTCAGGTTAAATATGGTTTCTGAGTGGGAAGTACAAAGCTGATAGCAGGTTATTACATGATTGGTTACATGGAATACAAGAATTAGGTCATATATCATCAGGCAGGTTTGTATACAGGAACATTCTGGGAAGAAGGGTCCTGAACAGAGTAGATAGAGTTGGAAGTGTCTTTGATTGGGCCAATCTTCCCCAAAACACGCTGGACTTGAAGCCCTTAAACAAGTTTTAATTACTGTGGATTTTTAAAACACAGCTAAACACATTTAGTTTAAGGGGGAACTTCTGGGCCTGGACAGTCAAGGCTAGCTACATTACACGAGGCAGGAACAGTCACAGTACATGAATTGATTTCCAACTTTTGTTATAATATACCTACAAGTCTACCATTGTATGAGTGTACCCTAACACTAGAGAGTAGAGAAGTTTTAAAGACTAATGGGGTTATGTTAAAAGGATTTGGAAGCCAACTTGAATTGGACCCCAGTAGTCAGAGTTGGAAAAATTTGAGCATCAATTAATAAACTGAATGGGTTTTAAAATATCAAATATATTTATACATGAATTGAAGAAAATTTAAAAAAATTTTTTGGTACTTTTGGATGATGTTAGGGAACATCTGGTTATTTTGACTGGTTATTTTGAAATATGATTTTTTTAAAAAGCACCTTTTTTAGACACCATATAAGTTGCACATAAAAATAATAAAATAGTTAAAATTTCTTCAAAGGAGCATAAAAATGGTTAAAAAAAGAAGGATTGGGTTAGAATATCACTATTTTGCAACCCTTGGTTCATAATGATCATCACTGATGACTGCAAATTTTCTTTAAGAGAAAGCAGTGGTGACCCCTGGTGGAATGCTTATTTATTTATTTATTTATTTATTTTTTTGCTTATAGTATACTTTAATTCCCAATGCACATTCATTCACTCAATGACAGACTAAAATATACATTCTTTTATGATAAGCCAGAATATCCATTATCCCAATAATACAAAAAGAAAACAGGTACAGAATTAGTATTAAGGGACTTCCTTAATTAAAATTACCAAAAAAAGGAAAAAAAA